TAGAAGGTTTAAATGTCGGTAGTGTGGCCTTTGGTGAATCTGGGGAAGCACCGCCTATTTTCGCCCAAGCTGCAAACTCAAATCTGGTCTATGTTGCCAATCAACCTGCTGCACCTTTGGCTGAAGCCTTAATTGTGCCGCAAGATTCAGCCATTCAATCAGTCCAAGATTTAAAAGGTAAGCGTGTAGTTTTGAATAAAGGTTCAAATGTACATTATCTTTTACTGAAAGTTTTAGAAGCAAATCATTTAAAACTTGATGATATTCAAGTGGTCTACCTACCACCAGCTGATGCACGTGCTGCCTTTGAAAAAGGTGCTGTAGATGCTTGGGTCATTTGGGATCCGTTCTTTGCTGCTGCTGAAAAACAACTCAATGCCAAAGTCATTGCGACAGGTCAAAACTTGGTCAACAACCACCAATTCTATTTGGCTGATCGTAAGTTTGCCGAACAACATCCCGATGTTTTAAAAATTGTGGTCAATGAACTGAATACGACAACGCAGTGGGTGTCTCAACATCAAACCGATGCGGCAAAACTCTTAGAAAAACCGACGGGATTACCGCTTGATATTTTGAATACCTCAATTTCTCGTATGGGTTTTGGTGTGACTCCAATTTCTAACGATGTGGTAAAGAAACAGCAAGCTGTCGCAGATGCTTTTTATCAACAAAAACTCATTCCCAATAAAATCAACATTCAAGCAGCTGTTTTAGCGAATTAATTTCGCCAACAGCGCCGTTAAAGAGGACATTAATATGACCCAGCAAATCGCACAACAAAACACAGCCTCATGGTTCAATGCAACGACTCATGCCATGACCACGATGTTGATCTGTAGCGCAATGCTGGGTTCAGCCTCTGTGTGGGCAATCGATCCAACGGTAAAAGAATTACGTATTGGCTTTCAAAAAAGTTCTATTAATTTTGCAATCGCCAAACAACAAAAGTTGTATGAGAAAGAATTCCCAAATGCCAAAATCACTTGGAATGAATTCCCTGCGGGTCCTCAAATTTTAGAAGCCCTTGCTGTAGGTTCTCTGGATGTTGGTGTCACTGGCGATACCCCACCAGTATATGCCCAAGCCGCGAATAAACCGCTGTACTACATTGCCTATGAAGCAGCCAAGCCGTTGGCTTCGGCAATTTTAGTGCCTAAAGATTCAAAAATCACCAAACTGAATGAGTTGAAAGGTAAACGTATTGCGTTACAGAAAGGCTCAAGTGCACATTATTTATTGGTACAAGCTGTCCGTAAAGCTGGTTTGCAATGGTCAGACATTCAACCGATTTGGTTAACCCCAGCTGATGCCCGTGCTGCATTTCAAAAAGGTGCTGTCGACGCTTGGGCGATTTGGGACCCATTCTTTGCTTCTGCTCAAGTTGAAGATCAAGCGCGTATCCTCGCCTCAGGGCAGGGTTTAAGTCCAAATTATACCTTCTATTTGGCATCGCCAGATTTTGTAAAGAAATATCCTCAAGCAGTTAAAGGCATTATCCAGCAAATTAATACTGCTGATAAATGGGTACAAGCCAATCGTGTCGCAACTGCACAAGCCATCGGGCAAAGTACTGGTTTAAAACCGAAAGTTAGTCAAACTTTTATTGAGCGACGTCCAAGACCTTCGGGTGCAGCACCGCTTTCAGCAAAAGTAATTGCAGATCAACAACAACTGGCCAATCGTTTTAGCGAACTCAAAATTATTCCAAACAGCATTGATATCAAACAAGCCGTTTGGACGGCGAAATAATATTTTTCTAAGGATGAATGAAATGAAAATCTTCTGGTTTATTCCTACTCACGGTGACAGTCGTTATTTAGGTACAAGCAAAGGTGCTCGCCAAGTTGACCATGCTTATATGAAACAAATTGCTGTAGCTGTGGATAATTTGGGCTATGAAGGTGTACTCATTCCCACGGGACGTTCATGTGAAGATCCATGGATTACTGCTGCGAGCCTGATTGATGCGACTAAAAATTTAAAATTCTTGGTTGCGTTACGTCCAGGTGTAACAACACCTGCACTCGCGGCACGTATGGCTGCAACTTTTGATCGTCTATCCAATGGACGGGTTTTGCTCAACCTCGTTACAGGTGGTGATGAGCAAGAATTGAAAGGTGATGGCGTATACGAAGACCACGCTTCACGTTATAAAACAGCAGCTGAATACACCACGATTTGGCGTGAAATTTTAAAACGTTCACATACAGGTGAATCATTTACCTTCCATGGCGAACGTTTAAGTGTAGATGATGCCAAGCTGCTTTATCCACCGATTCAAGCGCCTTACCCACCACTCTGGTTTGGGGGCTCTTCTGAAGATGCGATTGAATTGGCTGCTGAGCAAGTTGATACCTATTTGACTTGGGGCGAACCACCTGCTGCAGTCAAAGAAAAAATTGCAGTAGTGAAAGCGAAAGCCGATGCCAAAGGTCGTCAACTTAATTATGGTATTCGTTTACATGTCATTGTTCGTGAGACCAATGAACAAGCATGGCAAGCTGCCAATGAACTGATCCAATATGTAGATGATGCGACGATCGCCGCTGCACAGAAAAAATTTAAACAAATGGATTCCGTCGGTCAGCGCCGTATGGCTGAGCTACATAATGGTGATCGTAGTAAGCTTGAAGTATCACCAAATCTTTGGGCAGGAGTTGGACTCGTTCGTGGTGGTGCAGGTACGGCTTTGGTCGGTGATCCACAGACTGTTGCAGATCGTATTCAAGAATATGCAGATTTAGGCATCAATACCTTTATTTTCTCAGGCTACCCACATTTGGAAGAATCTATTCGCTTTGCTGAACTAGTATTCCCATTACTGCCGTTGGAAACACGCAAGAAACTCACGCAACCTAATTTGACTGGACCATTTGGCGAAATCGTTGCCAATAATTACACCCCTGAAGAAAATAAGAAACCATTACAGGAGCCTGCATGAATGCCTTAATTAACAATGCTGCTCCAGCCAAAAGTACTGCCGTTTCACGTGGAACGAAACAAATTGGGCAGCGTTTGCTGCCTTGGATTGTGCCGATTTTACTGATTGTCATTTGGCAAATTGCGTCTAAAACAGGATTGCTTGAAAGCCGTGTTTTACCTGCACCGACAGCGGTAGTCTCTGCGTTTTGGACACTTTTAGTCAGCGGTGAGCTTTGGCAGCACGTCAAAGTCAGTGCTGGTCGCGCGCTACTTGGCCTCTTAGTTGGTGGTGGGCTCGGTCTATTTTTGGGACTGCTTAATGGTTCATCAAAAGTTGCATCCAACTTATTGGATACCACCTTGCAAATGATCCGAAATATTCCAGCATTGGCGCTGATTCCATTGGTTATTTTATGGTTTGGAATTGATGAGTCTGCAAAACTCTTTTTAGTGGCTGTCGGTGTGTTTTTCCCGATCTACATCAATACCTATCATGGGATTCGTTCAGTTGATCCTCAATTGATAGAAATGGGAAAAAGCTATGGATTAAGCAGATGGCAATTGTATAAAGACATTATTTTACCGGGCGCAATGCCTTCAATTTTAGTGGGTTTACGCTTTTCACTGGGGTTGGTTTGGGTACTGCTGATTGTGGCAGAAACAATTTCTGCACAATCTGGAATTGGTTATATGACCATGAATGCGCGTGAATTTTTACAAACAGATATCGTGCTAGTGGGTATCTTGCTGTATGCCCTTTTAGGCAAACTTGCCGATGTATTTGCACAATTTTTAGAAAAATACCTATTGCGTTGGCACGCAGGTTATCAAAAATAGGAGTCTGATATGACCGATTTAAGCATTAGCCAATATGCCAATGACTTGGTGGCACCAACTGAGATTGTTGAAGAACAACAAGCAAAAATTGGTGCAGAAATTTCGATCGAACAACTGCATAAATATTATGGCGAAGTTAAAGTTCTTGAGGACTTAGATTTAAACATTGAAGCAGGTGAATTCGTTGCAATTGTGGGACGCAGCGGTTGTGGTAAAAGTACCCTACTGCGTTTAATTGCCGATTTAGAACAACCCAGTTATGGTGAAATCAAATTTAAATCTTTATTAAATTTCCGTGAAGGGATCATTGCAGATGATATTCGGGTGATGTTCCAAGATCCACGCTTATTGCCATGGAAAAGTATTCTAAAAAATGTGCAATTGGGTCTAGCCAAAAACCAATTTTCTAAAGCTGAGCAATTATTAGAAAAGGTTGGATTAAAGGAGAAATCTGGACTTTGGCCATCACAGCTTTCTGGTGGACAACGCCAACGAACGGCGCTTGCTCGTGCTTTGTCACATACACCACGAGTCTTATTACTGGATGAACCTTTAGGTGCTTTAGATGCATTGACGCGACTAGAGATGCAGAATTTAATTGAAAAGTTATGGTTAGAACAAGGCTTTACCACCATCCTTGTTACCCATGATGTCAGTGAAGCGGTTCAACTCGCCGATCGTATTATTCTTTTGGATAAAGGACATATTGCGCAACAGTTTCAAGTCGATTTACCACGTCCACGTCAAAAAGGTGTAGCATTTGCCGAACTTGAACAACAGGTACTCAGTGCTGTTCTTGCGACATGAACAGCAACAAAATACGCTTTTGTTCGTAACGCAAGGTATTGTCGGGCAGAATATTTTTGTCTTTACATATTAGGGTTTGCTGGCAATTCGTCTATGTTTGCGACTACGTGTATTTTTTAGTCGATACTAGGCGCGAAATACGAAATTTAGTCATTCTAAATGAGTAGTTCGTAACAACGTAGCGGCAAAAAACACACAAGTCCCGAAGGGTTGTGGCTAAAATTATCTCAGTCTTCGTTATGAAACTCGAAAATAGTCTCGCTATTCTCATTCAT